CTTCCTTATAATTTGGAGACGAGTCAACAGAGGGGCTGGGAAGCCTTCAACTTTAAACAGCATCAGTGCGATCGAGAAGTTTTCGATGGAATAGAAGATTCCGAGAACACGGTAGCACTAAAGTACCGCGTTCCTCGAACATTGGAGTGCGGTACTACTGTTTCCGTGGTGCAGCGACGTGTAGCTCGTCTATTTGTCGAGCAAGACCAAGTTGTGTGTATTTGGAAGACGCATACGGAAGGGGAGGGAGTTTTTCGTGGAATGCACTCGAATCAGACAGGATGGAGTTGTCTTCGGCCGATGCCAGACGGAGCAGGAACAGTAGGTGAGGTGTGTATTCGTCAGATTCCTGTCCTTTTCAACGCTTCTCCTTCATCAGCCAATGCTTTTTATCGATTTCTCCAAGCCATAGTCGATGAGGACAAGTACGAAATGATGACTGCAGATTCATAACGGACCCCCTGAGCAAAGAGGTGCTGTGTAGCTCCGCAGACGCATATAAGAGGACCGTGCTAGTCGATTAGCGGGTACGAATCTTGTGGGGTTTGTTTTCTTAACAAGTAATAACAACAATCGTCGAAGCTCTCTGGGTATTGTTATTGAGCGCTAAGGAAAGAATCTGATAGATGGTATTATTGTCCTGGAAGTGCTACGTGAGTAGAGTATGTATATAAAGCTCAATAAGGATTAATTTAAGAATGACATATGTGGTAGCTTATGTACAGACCAACAAGGATTAATTAACCCCCCAACGCCCAACGGTTGTACGTACAGCAGGAATCATGTTGTACGTACAACATGTTAAAAGTTGGGCTATTTTGTTGCAAAATATGGGCAAACTTGAGAATGCACAGGCGCTGGGGTTGTTGAGATCAGTCTCTTTTGGCAATAAACAATACAGATTCTCCCCTGGGTTGGTGGCTGAGAGCTCATTTCGAGAAAAGACCTGAAGGAGAGACACGTGTGCACGATGGCCCCGCCTCGAGAAACACGCCGCGAACGCCAGCAGTTCCTGCAACGTCTGGATGGCCGAACTGCGCACGACCGAGAGCGCATCAGGAAGGAGCATGCGGCGTACCTGGCTGGCGAACGAGAGGAGGATGCTGACTTCGGAGAAGATCCAGCACCTACACGCAGCGCGACAGCTCGTCCTCTGCTTCCGGTTCCGATCGGCAAAGATGCCTGTTACGTGCGTGCGCAGCGACGTTTGATCTCGCAACAGCAACGTGCTGTCGCCGCAAAGACGTTGGCAGGCTCCGGCAAGAAACGGTTGGCTGCTAGTAGGGACTTGAGCGACGATGATGAGGACTATGATCCCGATCGGTTCGACGAGGAAGCGGATGCTGATGCAGACGATGAGCGACTGGATGCAGCAGACTCCCCAGTCAATTGATTTTGTGATGGACGATGCCAACATGGCTGCCATGCGAGCTAACGGGTGGAACTTAGGTTCGTGACAATGAGGGGTGTAGCCTCCAGCATATTCTAACATGATATATGATGTATATACAACATGTAGACCCAGACCATTTCCCGCCTGACCAACATTACCCAGGATTATATTCTGGGGAGTATGGACCAACCGACGAGGTACTGGCCCTTAACACACTCACCGCTTAAGCTATTCTTCTTTTTCATGCCGTAAGAGTTTGTGGAGACAAGCTGCAAAGGAAACCAATCGCTACTTTGTGCAGAACCTCACTTCACGAGTGGAGCGTATGTTCAGCTCGCAGAAGACACCTGCCAAGAAGTCCAAAGAGTGGTTTCTGCATCGCGAGGCCAAGAAGCGGGACGTCAAGCCACACGAGATACTGCAAGCGCTTGGATTACTGATGGCAAGAATGCTGAGCCCTCACCGCCGCAGGTTACGTGATCATTGGGGCACTAATGCAGTGGGAGCTATCCCACGGGGGACGTTCAACGATTTTTTGCCGCGAAACCGCTTTGAACACATCATGGGAAATCTTCACTTCACCAACAACGCAGACACGAGAGCAGCAACTGACCGCGCCTGGAAAGTCAGGTCTATCGTTGAAACGCTGCAAGAAACGTTTCCGTTGGGTTACAAAACGCCGCCGATCATATCATTTGATGAGGGCGTTCTTACCTTCTGAAGAACCGGAACAATCCTACGCGTCATATCTCCAAGGCGAAGCCTCACAAGTGGGGCACAAAGCTTTTTCTGACGTGTTGTGCAGATACTTCCTACTGTATGAGGTGAGATGACTCGAGTTCTTGCGGACTCGCGGTTTTTTTTTTTGACCAAGTCTATCATGTTGTATCTAATGTTGTATGCTTGTATGCTGTATCCCTACAACAAGAAGACTTGAGGTGTATTGTGGCAAAGCGCAGCAGGTCCATGAAGTAGGCAACGTTCCAGACAGTCAGCGATCTGCAGATCCAAACACCGGGCCGTCAGCAGTTATCCGAAACTTGGAAGCTGTCCTGCCACCACCCGAAGATGACGTCTATCACATTGTAGTGACGGATCGATTTTATACGTCAGTTCAACTGGCGTTTCAACTACTACATAGGAATGTCTACAGTATCGGCACGTCATATCGTTGATTTGAGAAGCAGACAAGCGCCGAGACGCTATCCTCCCCATGTAGCCTCGCTAACGGGTCCGTACGCATAGTGTCCGTGATGCGTCCGTAGAAGGTAGATACGGTCTTAGCCCCGACGCTCCAGAGGCATATGTTGGCCGACGCCCCTGGTAGATTGATGAAAGTTGTCATATCGTTGATTTGAGAAGCAGACAAGCCCCGAGACGCTATCCTCCCCATGTAGCCTCGCTAACGGGTCCGTACGCATAGTGTCCGTGATGCGTCCGTAGAAGGTAGATACGGCCTTAACCCCGACGCTCCAGAGTCATATGTTGGCCGAGGCCCCTGCTAGATTGATGAAAGTTGTCATATCGGTGATTTGAGAAGCAGGCAAGCCCCGAGACGCTATCCTCCCCATGTAGCCTCGCCAACGGGTCCGTACGCATAGTGTCCGTGATGCGTCCGTAGAAGGTAGATACGGTCTTAGCCCCGACGCTCCAGAGGCATATGTTGGCCGACGCCCCTGGTAGATTGATGAAAGTTGTCATATCGTTGATTTGAGAAGCAGGCAAGCCCCGAGACGCTATCCTCCCCATGTAGCCTCGCTAACGGGTCCGTACGCATAGTGTCCGTGATGCGTCCGTAGAAGGTAGATACGGCCATAACCCCGACGCTCCAGAGGCATATGTTGGCCGACGCCCCTCGTAGATTGATGAAAGTTGTCATATCGCGATTTGAGAAGCAGACAAGCCCCGAGACGCTATCCTCCCCATGTAGCC